AATACATATTAATATATATATTATAAATAAAAAATAATATTTTATTTAATAAATAAATAAGTGATATGTATAAATAAATAAATGTTGCTATTGTACTCTGTCATAAAATCTACAGTAAACTATTCTTCTCATGATGGGACTGGTTTTGGTCTTGCTTGTGCAGATGTTTCCATACTCCTTGTTGGTCATGGCCATGATGATGTACCTGCCGACTCTGATCTGGCGGTATCTGGCCATGCCCAGCCTGACCTCTGACCTGTTTTTCATCATCGACGAGCTGGACAAGTCTTACAACCGCTCTGTCCACCTGGCTCAGAGCATCCTGGACCTAAAACAGCAATCAGAAAATCCACTGCAGTTTCAGGCTGAGCTTGAGAGGTATATGCAAATCTTCACATCATACATCTTATTTAAAGAAGTATTTTTTGTTTTTCAGATATTGAACATAAAATCGTTTTATTTTTGTCTATTTAGAGCCAAGCGTAAGCGTTACTTTGAGTACCCCCTGTTGGAGAGATACATGCAGTGCAAGCATGGTTCCTACTTCTTGGTCAGCATGCTCTTCCTGCGAGGCTTCCTGCTCCTGACCTTCATGTCCGCCTCGTGCCTCTACCTGATCTACTTCCACCTCTCTGCCTTTCTACAAGACGAATTCAGTTGCTTTGTGCGCACCGGCCTCCTCCGTGACCAGCCCTGGGTGCCTGAGCTAGTTCAGTGTAAAATGACTGGTCTACTTGTGTTTCAGGTCATTAGCCTAGCTAACGGTGCTGTCTATGTGCTGCTAGCTCCTATTGTTCTCTTTAGCCTGCTGCGTTTGTTCTGTTGGGACACAACCTTCCTCTCCCTTTATGAGGTACTGCCCGGATTGGGGCTCATGAGTGGTCAGAAACTGGGCTGCCCACTTAACGATCTCAACGTGCTGCTTCTCTTCCTGCGCGCCAACGTAGCACAGCTGCGATCGTACAGCCGCCTGAGGGCCGTTTGCTCTCTTGCGCCTCCTCGACTGAAGGGTGCTAAGGGCGTGCTGATGGGGGAACAGGCAGAAGAGGCGGCAGAGGCTGCCGAGGAGCTCGAGGAGGAGATTAGAGAGGCCAGAGAGGAAGGCAAACTCAATCTAGTAGACATCATGACTGTGCTGGGAGCAGCCAGAGGAAACGCAGTGAACTGTCCAGAGCAGCGCCCTCTTGTGGAACAAGACATGACGCTTGGTACAGTCACTCTCATCTATATACTTAAACGTATCCTGCTCGTTGGCATTTTCGTGGCTGTCATATGGGACGTTCAGAAAATCATCAAAGTGACATAAATTTATGATATATGATGTTGGAAACCATTTGTGTCCCCTACTGTATGTGTAAACATCATTTTATTTTGTGTGAAGAGATAATGTGCAAAAAATGACCCATATATAGCATTTAAATATGAGTCTGCTTCTCAAAGCACATTGTATTTGTTTATTAAAAAATATGGCTAATTTTAAAATATTTTTACCATATTTCCATGACCAAGTTTACTGAATTACACAGCTTTTCATTTAAAATCTGTGAAAAAAGTCTAATAGGCCTAATTCATACCACATTTCTGGAAGTCTGGGCAATCGTTGCTAATATATCTCATAAAAATTGTACATATAAAACAATGTTATCTGTTCTAAAGGAAGCTTTAAAGAAAAACAATTCTTCATAAGTTCTAGCAGCCGTATTGTGCTCTTTATTTTACAAAAGTTTTTCGCACTTAACGTCAGGTTTTTAACCCAAAATTAATGCCCCTAACAGCACTCTCTGTCTCTTTACAGAGCCTAACCACCAGGGGTACCATGAGTTGTAGGAGACTACAGCATGTTGTTTTGCCTAAAGCACCAGCCAATGGACTGAAGCAGCACTGTCAGACTCTAGAGGGCCCCGTAGAACAGCTAAACCTCTGAGATGAAATAAAGATGAAAGACTAGAACATCCAATAGCTAGAACTCCTCTTTTATAGTCCAGAATACATCAGAAAATATCTGGATTTAAAATAATTCTTATGAATTTCTTACACAAATCACCTCAGGAATAAAAACTTAAAGACTGTACTGACAATTTGAAAAAAGCCTCCAATAGTTAGCCTTCTTAAACTTGAGTATTTGTATATCTTTATTTATTCTTTTCATTCTTATTATCTGATGTTTGTGGATTCCATACTTCTTTGAAAACTGGATCTTTACTTGACGTTTTGTTCTCTTTTGTAAGTAGGTGAAATAAAATTTGTTCATATTTGTGTTTTCTTTGTTAACTTCCACATTACTGTTCAAAAGTTTGAGGTCAGAAAAATAAATCATGGTTTCCAAAAAATATAAAGCATTGATAATGTTAGGAAGTTTTTAATATAATGATAGTTTCTTAAGCACCAAATCAGCATATAAGGATCATGTGACTAAAGGTTGCTGAAAATCCAGCTCTGCCATCGCAGGAATAAATACTTTTTTTTTTATATATTAAAGTAGAGTCCAGCGAGCCTAGTACCGGGCCTGAAACCAAGCATATTTCACGTTTTTATACCTACAGAATAGCATGACTTCTGCACTCTTCTCCTGTACCTTAGAGAGAAATATCACCTCCTCCTTTGAGAATTAACTTGTCCCATAATTGCCAGACTTTCTCAAGTTTCTAATCCCACGAGAGCTATCAGTAGGCCATGGCTCCATATCTTATGTTTTAAAGATGTTACTTTTCCCCTTCTTCAGTGTGAAGTTTTACTCTATATACTTAAAGGTCCACACATCCAAGCACTGAAAATGTGGGTTTGACATATTGGGAGCGCTAAACTGAAAATACAGTACATCCATCCAAAATACAATAAGTTTGCGAGACATTCCAGTCAAGATTTTGAAGATGTAGGACAACAGCATTTTTTTAGAATGATATTTATAGCAAATTACCATTACGCAGTATTTTATAGTAAACAAAAGGCTGGGGCTAGTTGTCACACAGGTGAGTTGTCACAAAACTTGAAATATTTTGGATAAATTCAGTGAATTCCTTCCTCCAAACTAAATCCCAGTATCATGTTTTTCACTACAGCTCAAGGGTTAACACAGTAAAACCACAATGATACGCATTTAGACAACTTTAAAATTAATACAGATTTTAACCAAAAGGCTGAACTTTGTTTTCAAGATAAGAATATTGTTATTAAACATCAGGTTGGGGCAAGTTGCCACACTTTAAGGAATAGACATTAACTTTCAAAAATAGCCCCATGTATTCAGTGGAGTAAAAACCCAGTGTCCCTTACATCATTTACTATCATCGGCCTCTTCCTGTTTTTGCTGTGGCTCATTGAAAGTCTGTTTGGAGAGCTGCTACCTTGTTCTCATGCCCAGTCCATCTGCTGGCCTCTCTGTGTGAGATCCATTTGCTCAGCACCAATGTTTGATCTCAAAGATACTTTATTCTCACAGTATGGCCACAGACAGAACCCGAGGAGGGCAATAGGCAAAACAGTCTGGATCTTATTGAGCAAGTGTAAATTAGATGCTAGTCGTTTGAATCTAATAAACAATTTCAAATCAACCATGAAAGGGGGTCACAGCTGTGCATACAGTATGTGCCTCACATTCAGTAGCTTTAAAAATATCTACACTGATATTTTTTTTTGCAGCATTGTATACAAGGACAACAATTCGAGGCAGTGTTATTTATTTACTAGCACTTATGCAGAGAAGGGGTCACCTGAGTAACACACCATTAATACCATCTTTGGTGGCGCAGGACGGTTAGCTCTGTGATCAGAGTTGAGTTAATGAGCCTGCTAAAAGCCAGGAGAAACTCAATTAGTTTGATGGAGTACTGAAGCAGAGATCTGCCCAGAGGATTTCATAATGGTCTTCTCAGAGGTGAGACCAGAACAGCAAATAGTAAATCAGCTCTAGAAGCCTGAAAGGGCAAAAACAGAAACACTAATTGGAAAGTCATTAGGCCGTTGGTCTTTATGCTACAGGTATATATGTAGCCCACTCATGAATATGAAACAGATAGGACTGGAAAGCATAAAAGACCTTGATTCATCAGACCTTGATTTTATGTATTTGGTCTCTAGAGGGGATTTTAAGCAACAACTTGAATATCACTCTGTAAAAGAAGAAAAAAAACCCAGACTATGTCCACATGAGGGCAGGATTTAGTTATATATCAAATTTACTTCAGATCAACAGAACTTAATAATATTTTAGCACACACACACACATGTCTGGTCAGCTATCCTTGTGGGGACTCTCCATAGGCGTAATGGTTTTTCTACTGTACAGACCGTATTTTCTATTGTCCTACACCAACCCGATAAAAGATGTAGGATAGATAAATGCAATTTATAGGTAGTTTGGGTGAATTCAAGTTAATAAATTGGGACACCTCTGAGATGACTGAATAACCTGAATTCACCCTAATAATTTAATCAGCTGAATTATGGCTGTAACACCCTTATTTAAACAACAACAACAACAACAACGTAGTAAACATCAAAACATATCACATGGATTGACTGGAACATTTAAGGGCATGCACGGTAATAAGGAGGTTAGGGTCACATTAATTACGTCACCTAATTACACCTAATTACGTCATGACCTAAAAGAATCACTAAATCGTTTTTTTACGAGTTCGTTGAAATAAGCTGTCATACATATATATGTACAATATATACATACATATATGTATGTATTATTCCAATGAAATAATAATAATACATTTATTTTTCTTGTACAACTTTTATTTTTATAACATTCAAGGTCCAAGCCAAAATATCATTCATTTCTTCCAGGAGACTAGAGCACCTGTTTGGAGAACAGAAGGTTTGCTAAAGAAGACTGAAATATTAAAACATTTTACATGAATATAGAGTTATTTATATCATTTACGCCCTGGCATTTTTGTGTAGTGTGTATTTGTATTTTTGTAGGCCTACTCTGTTCTAATAAATACCGATTCCAGTCACAATTCTTATCGCTAGTTTTGACCCATGGAGGGCGCTGCTGGCTTCAGAAGCTTCAAGTCGTCTTGTTTCTTCTTGGTCATGCTACTGTAAGTTTGTGAAAGTCCAGCGAAGGCCTCCTGGTGCATAATCGTTATCGGCTTTAAGGTAAGGCAACCAAATGCATGTGTCTGCAGAGACTTTTTAAAAAGTTAAAGTTTTTAATTTGACACAAAGCTTTAAAAAGGCAGCGCTAATGACGCAAGATGCAAATAAACAGCCAGATGTGTGACATTGTCACAGTTGCTTACAAACGCGTCCTGTGTTAATGGCTCGTTATGATGTCTATAATAAATAACAGTTAACATAACATTTAGAAATGTCTATAATAGAAATCTCTGTTAATAAGCGATTTATTTAGACATGTTAGGGAAGTGTTAACAAAAAGGGGACAGAAGAGGAAGACATCAAGTAAACCGTTCACTTGAAAAGTTAATTGCATTACATTAATGCAATTGATTAAATGAAGCATGGCATTATACGTTTTAATTTAGTTGCAATTCAGTGTCGTAACTGTCATTACTTACGGATGTTTTTGCATTCTTTAGCATGAAAGAATAGGCTAGGTGATGCATCACCATACTACAATTACCACAAGTTGCGCAAACCTAATTGCCTCACTTTTTAATTTAAACATAATAACTGTTTTAAATAAATATTAACTGCTCAACTAGAAAAAAATCCATGGCTTTCATTTCAGATATCTGCTCCCCTTCGCACAACACTGCAACTTGGCTCAGCCAATGGCATGAGTTTGTGGTGGGACAATGGCAGAAAATGGAGCTAGTATGATGTACTATTTAGTTTGGACACCACTACAAATGGCTGTCCTCTCAAGTAGTGCACTATATACGGGTACAGAGGGCAATTTCGGACACAGAATTCTCTCACTCACTTTCATTTACTCATTCAAGTGAACTATGTTAATGGAGTTATGTAGGGAACTGCAAATAAGGGTATAGGGAGTGATTTTGGATGCAGCCTTTGTTTTTCACATTTCATTTGTGGTGCAGAAATGTAATACTTGCACTTAATAATGAATGATAAATGATTAGGAAAACATTCAAGCTTCCGTTAAAATAGAATATAATCAGGTATACGTTTCCTATACTCTTTTCAAACAGAAGACAAGTGACACTCCACCTTTAATTACACAGAGTTCCTCAAGAGTTGCAGTAATTTATTTGAAACCTTTCTTGAGTGATTGATTCCCATTATCCAATTAAGCTCCGACATGGCTTTCAAATTCCCATCTTTCTCATTCCTTGCATTTGTGGTCTACTGACATTACTTCCTGTGATTTTTTTTTTTCTCCTTCTCTCCAGAGAGCTTGGTGAGAACAAACGGTGGGATGGAAAACGACAGCCAATTATTCCTCTCGTCAACCGGTTTGTTTCCTTTGTATCGTTTGTTGTCGTACCGAACTAAGGGTTGAGCGTTGCCAGTGATTTCCAGCTAATGTCCAATTAAGATGGATGTGAGCTTTTTGTGCCGTATCAAGGGAAGTGAACTTTTGTGATGATGGATGCTGCGTGTGCCAAGTGGGATGAGCTGGAAACTGGGACTCTGCTTGCTTAGGCCCAACGTGATTCAGTAATGGATCTCTAATCTTGTTGAGAGAGGAGAGCTGTGGGGAAAAAGAGGCAGAGAGGAAAACGATAAGCAAGTCATGCTCTGCTGCTGCCTGGGAAACCTTGATTACTGTTGATTACTCGCCACAGCTGAAATATAAGGTGAACAGTATCTAGACAGTGGCTCGACTTACATTATTGGGTCTCCGCATGAGCTGATGACAAGACTGATATCTCAGACCTTGTTTTTAAGGAACTGCTGCTTTAAGGCTGCACAGATTAAAGAAAACACTCCATATAAATATTCCCATCACAGTTCAGATGCCCTCGTCAAAGCTTAAAAGTGTCTTTTGAATGGAAATGGCAGTTTGATTCAAACACAGTGCCATTTTTTTAGTCTGAGCACATTAACTTTGTATTCCAGCCTCTGAGCCGTGACAGCGCAGAGAATGCGTGTTATCTGTGTGGTGTAATGTCAACCTGTATGGGGGGAGAAGCTGACCTTGCAGTCATTCAACAAAGCAGAAGTGAAGGTGAATGACAGGCTGCTTAGAGCGGTGTACGAGGTGAAGATATTCCCTGCTTATTCCCAGCAGCCTCACATCTGTGTGGAGGCTGATAATAGGCAGGGAAGAGGAACACCTGTTCACATGACTTGTGTGTGAGAGCTAGAGGAAGGAGCAAGGTTGGGTCCAATGTCATCATTGAGAACCGCTGAAAATGCTTATATAACCAGGGTCCCAACAGACCCTGTTCAATATATACAATTTAGTGTCTACATGTATGATGTGGTATCAGTATACCGTCCATGGCTAGATCAGAGTTAATGATATGATGCTCATTTTTGGTGTCCAGATTTACTAATCAGTGAAACAATATTTGTAAACTAAAATGTATTTTGATATTTTATGTGGGGCAGATATTCTTAAAAATAAAATATAGTGAAGGATATTTATTTCAATTTATATTATTTGTAAACTAAAAAAAGTAAAATTTTACAATAATGTTGTCCAGCACAGTGTTATTTTAGTATAACCGAGATTTTAGTTTTATTATAGTTTTGACTAATATTTTGAATATGTTTTTTTTTTCTATTTTAGTGCATCAAGTTAACCAAATTAAAATGAGAAATTCTGAAATGTTGAAATAAAAAGGCTTTCTGTATTTTGTTTACCATATTTTAGTTAGCATTTATTTTATTTAATGTAATTTAATTTTGGTTACAGTTTGTTTTAGTTTCAGTTTTAGTTAACTATAATGAACCTGGTACATCATGTGTCTTTGTTGATTATTTCTATCTACAGTACATTTTAGTGCCTTTGTATTGCATGTTTAATGAAGTTTAATAGAAGTTTAATGAGAATACAGTGCACTTTATAGAACAATGAAGGTGTAAAATGATCATTTTAACATTCAAATGTAGGCAATAAGCATAAGTTACATATCCTCTTTTTAATTTTTCAAACCAGGCCACATATTCCTTATGCTGTAGCCTTTCTAATTTCTCCTTGTTCATCCTCTATCATTGTTTTGCTGCAAAAGCAGAACATAAATTAAACTTACGACTTTGCAGGAGCTACAGGATGTTGCTCTGATGCAGTGTGCATGTTGAGAGACTGGCCACGTGCCCGACTCGCAGGAGTCACAATAGTGCATAGAGATTCTGCAAATGAGTGTGTGCTTATGTGCGTGAATGTAAATATATATATGTTGAATATTTATGTTGTCGTATCCCGCTGACACCTGGAAGAAAGCAGCTGCTCTGGGCTCAGAGGCATACACTTGTGATTTACAAAACATGTCTGCAAAAACTTGCGCTGTACAGCTGGGGGAAAAACCAACAAGTGGTGAACAGCTGTCATCACCAAAAGTACTACCCAATGTAAGGTTCTGAAATTACACAGAATTGATGTATTGTCCTCCTTTTGGCTATAATGTTTTTAGGGTTAAAATGCATTCAAAACAATGATAAGCACAGAAATAATTCTTAGTATTTTTGTTTTGTATAAAACAAGAATGACTCTTACTTTAATTGTTGTTAATAATAATAATAATAATAATAATTAGTTATCAAACAATTATAATACTAGTTCATAAATATAACAGTAATATTGTGAAATATTATTACATAAATATAACAATAATATTGATATATTATTAAAATTTTAAATAGCTGCTTACTATTTTAACATATTTTAAAATAACTTTTTCCTGCGATGGCGAAGCTGAATTTTCAGCAGCATTAATCCAGTCTCTTCAGTGTTACATGATCCTTCAGAAATAATTCTAATTTGCTGATTTGCTGCTCAAGAAACGTCTCTTAATAATATCAGTGTTAACAGTTGTGCTGTCTAATATTTTATGGAATCCATGATAATTTGTCCTCCTTTTGGCTATAATGTTTTTAGGGTTAAAATGCATTCAAAACAATGATAAGCACAGAAATAATTCTTAGTATTTTTGTTTTGTATAAAACAAGAATGACTTACTTTAATTGTTGTTAATAATAATAATAATAATAATTAGTTATCAAACAATTATAATACTAGTTCATAAATATAACAGTAATATTGTGAAATATTATTACATAAATATAACAATAATATTGATATATTATTAAAATTTTAAATAGCTGCTTACTATTTTAACATATTTTAAAATAACTTTTTCCTGCGATGGCGAAGCTGAATTTTCAGCAGCATTAATCCAGTCTCTTCAGTGTTACATGATCCTTCAGAAATAATTCTAATTTGCTGATTTGCTGCTCAAGAAACGTCTCTTAATAATATCAGTGTTAACAGTTGTGCTGTCTAATATTTTATGGAATCCATGATAATTTGATGAGTAGAAAAGGTCAAAAGAACAGCATTTATTTTAAATAGAAATCTTTTGAAACATGTAATGTCATGTCGTTTGATCAATTTAATGTGACCTTTTTGAATAAAAGTATATATATA